CCTGGTAGTATTTCCAGGCCTTGCCGGAAAGAAAGGGGCCGGCGATGTCCAGGTGGGCCCAGGACGCGCCCTGCGGAACGAACTCCTGCAGGAAAAGGCCGGCCGTAATGGCTCCGGCATGCGAGCCCCCGATGTTGTTGACGTCGGCGTAGGGGGTCTTGAGAAATTCCCGGTACTCCTCCGGAAGGGGCAGCTCCCACAGCAGTTCTCCCTGGCTCCCGCCCGCTCCGATCACCCTCCGAACCAGTTCGGAATCGTTTCCCATGATTCCGGCGTAGCCTGGACCCAGCGCCCGCACCACGGCGCCGGTCAGGGTGGCGATATCGACGATATGGGTCGCCCGCCACTCCCCGGCCCGTTCAAATCCGTCGATCAGAACCAGGCGTCCCTCGGCATCGGTGTTGTCCACCTGCACCGACTTGCCGTTCTTGGGGACGAAGATGTCACCCGGGCGCTGGGCCTTGGCGTCGGGCATGTTTTCCGCCGTGGGGATCACGCCCAGCACATTGATGTCCGGCCGCAACTGGGCGATGGCCTTCATGGCGTAAAGGACGGCCGCGCCGCCGGCCATGTCCCCCTTCATTTCCAACATCCTGTCCCCGGGTTTCAGCGAGATGCCGCCCGTGTCGAAGGTGATCCCCTTGCCGACCAGGGCCAACCGAACCTTGGATTGACGGGCCGGTCGATACTCCAGGCTGACCAGCCGCGGCGGGTGAATGCTGCCGCTCCCCACGCAAAGCAGTCCGGCATGCCCCGCCTTGCTGAGGCCGCTCTCATCCAGCACCGAAACCTTGAGTCCGTGCTCCTTGCCGATCGCTTGCGCCCGATCGGCAATCACCTCCGGGTAGACCGCGGCCCCAGGTTCGTTCACCAGTTCGCGGCTCCCATTCACACACTCGGAAATCAGCACTGTCCGAGCCAGATCCTCCCGGCACGCTTTCAGTCTGGCGCCTGCCACACAGAGCGAGACCCGAAGCCTTTCCCAAAAGCGGTCCTTCTCCTTGCGGTACTTGTCGAACCGATACCCGCCCAGGGCGACCCCCTCCACCACCGCCCCGAACAGCTCCGGGGCGTCCTTGCCGTTCAGCAGAAAGGTCACCTGAGTCAGGTCGAGGTCATGGGCCTGGTCCAGGGCCCGAGCCGCCAGGATCTTCACTTTTTCAGGCAGATCGTAGGGCTTCACCAGGCTGGTGTGCTGCACCAGGACATGGCGCACGTCCTTACTGGGGCTGGCGCTGAAGTATTCCTTTTTGATCCTCCCCTCGCCATAATCCTGCGCAAGCTGCCCCAGAAGCGGTCCCAGGGTGGGATCGGCGGTTCGGCTGAGTTCCCGCTCCTTGTCCAGCAGCAGCACCAGCAGGTCGGCCGGTTTCCGTTTCGGCAAGGTCGCCTTGGCTTCGATTTTCATGAAGGTCTCCGGGTAGAGATTTGCACCAGTTCCATTTTCGCTCCCCATTATCGGCATCCGCCGGGGCGGCCGCAAACAAAAACCACCGGACAGGTTCCGTCCTGAAACCGTCGTCGAGTCAGCGCTTCCAAAGTTCGTCCCCGGGCGCCAGCCCGGGGTTCCGGCTAAGCCGCGAATGGGGCGGCCGAGCCCAGGCCACCTTCCCAACAGCGCTGAACCGGTTAGGAGGCGAGTGCAGGATCGCGCCGAATTTCACTGCCTTTTCAAGGGGTTTTTCGCTATCATATCGGCATGCTCTGGAAACTTTTTTGCGGAACCCCTGCCGCGGGGTTCGTGGCAATTGTCGGCGCCTGCCTGTGCCTTCAGATCGCGCCTTCCTCCCAGGGTGCTCCGGCTGAGGCTCCCGCAAGGGTGGACTTTCTCCGGGATATCCAACCCGTCTTTCAGGCCTCCTGCATTTCCTGCCATGGCCCCGAGCAGCAGATGGCGGGGCTGCAGCTGGATTCCAGGCCTCTGGCGCTTGCCGGCGGGCAGTCCGGCCGGGTGGTCGAGCCAGGCGATGCCGATCGGAGCCTGCTCTTCCAGCGGGTGGCCGGTCTGGGCGACCAGGCGCAAATGCCCATGGGCGGGAAGCCGCTGGACCCGGCAACCATCGGGCTGATCCGGGAGTGGATCGAACAGGGCGCCGACTGGCCGGAGAGTGCCCGGGAGGCCGGAGCAGCAGTCGAGCGCCATTGGGCCTATGTATCTCCGTCCCGGCCGGCGCTGCCGAGGGTGAGGGATTCAAGCTGGGTGGCCAACCCGATCGACGCCTTTGTCCTGGCTGGGTTGGAAGCCCAGGGCCTGTCCCCCTCTGCCGAGGCCGACCGCGTGACACTGCTGCGCCGTCTCAGCCTGGATCTGATTGGGCTGCCGCCGACCATCGAGGAGGTGGACGCCTTTCTGGCCGATGACAGCTCAAAGGCCTACCGCAAGCAAGTGGAGCGCCTGCTGGGGTCGCCTCATTATGGAGAACGTTGGGGGCGCCGTTGGCTGGATGCCGCCCGTTACGCCGACTCCGACGGTTTCGAAAAGGATCTGCCGAGAATCGTCTGGTTCTACCGCGACTGGGTCATTCGCGCCCTGAACCGCGACCTGCCCTACGACCGGTTCATTGTCGAGCAACTGGCCGGCGACATGCTCCCGGGAGCCACCCAGGATCAGATCGTGGCTACCGGTTTCCTTCGAAATTCCATGATGAACCTGGAAGGAGGCATCGATCCGGAGCAGTTCCGGATGGAAGCCATGTTCGACCGCATGGAGGCGGTGGGCAAGGGGATACTGGGCATTACCATCCAATGCGCCCAATGTCACAACCACAAATATGACCCTCTGACCCAGGAGGAGTACTACCGGCTGTTCGCTTTCCTGAACAACGCCCATGAGGCCAAGGTCGCCGTCTATACGCTGGAAGAGCAGCGCCGGCGGGAAGCCTTGCTACAAAGGATCCGGGACGTCGAGCTGGAGTTGCAGCAGCGCTACCCCGACTGGCGAACGCGGATGGAAAAATGGGAACGCGGTCTCAATTACGACCCGCCCCAATGGACGGTGGTTCAACCGGAGGTGGACGATTTTTCTACTCAAGGCCAGAGGTACCTTCCCCTCGAGGACGGCTCTTTCCTGGCTCAGGGGGCTACGGGCGGGAGCCACCGGGTGGAGATGACGATCAGGACGGACCACCGTCCTATCGCCGCCTTCCGCCTGGAGCTGATGACCGATGCGACCTCCCCATGGGAGGGCCCGGGCGATCCATCAACGGTACCTGCGCCTTGACGGAATTTGAAGTGGAGGCGGCTCCCGCGGACCATCCCGACCAGGTTCGCCCGGTCAAGGTGGCCTCGGCCACCGCCGACATCGTTCCCGCTCCCCTGGAGCTGACCCCCGTTAAGGAGGACGGCAAGCCGCGGGTCATCGGACCGGTGGCCTTTGCCATCGACGGCAAGGAGGAAACCGCCTGGGGCGTGGATACCGGCACGGTCAGACGCAACCAGCCGCGGAAAGCCGTGTTCCGGGCGGAGCAGCCCGTCGACCATGCAAACGGCACTCTCCTGACCTTTTATCTCAACCAGAAACATGGGGGCGGCGACAACCTGGGAACCCGAAACCGCAACCTGGGGCGCTTCCGGCTCTCGATCACCGCCGAGGCCGGCGCCGAGGCCGATCCCTTGCCCAAAAAAGTCCGGGAGATTCTTTCCATTCCGGCCTCCCGGCGCACCCCCCAACAGGTCCGGGAGGTCTTCAGCTATTGGCGGACCACCGTGCCCGAGTGGAGCCGCTTCAATGAGCGAATCGAGGAGCTGTGGCCCCAACACCCCCAGGGGACCACCCAGTTGGTGCTCGCCGAGCGCCAACGGCCTCGCCCCACCCACCTGCTGGAGCGGGGGGATTTCCTTCGTCCGGGCAAGCGCGTCGGTCCGGGGGTGCCCGCCTTTCTCAACCCTCTGCCGGGGGAAGAGCCCGCCGACCGGTTGGCTTTCGCCCGTTGGCTGGTGGAACGCAAGGCTCCCACAACCGCCCGTACCCTGGTCAATCGAGTCTGGCAGGGGTATTTCGGCACCGGCCTGGTCCGAAGCAGCGAAGACCTGGGGAAGCAAAGCGAGACGCCCTCTCACCCCAAGCTGCTGGATTGGCTGGCGGTCGAGTTCATGGAGCAGGGGTGGAGTCTGAAATCCTTGCATCGTCTCATCGTGACTTCGGCCACCTATCGCCAGTCGTCTCGGGCGACTCCCCAACAGTACCGTGAGGATCCTTACAACCGCCTGCTGGCCCGGGGCCCACGATTTCGAGTGGATGCCGAAGTGGTCCGCGACATTGCTCTGGCCGCCAGCGGCCTCCTGCGTCCCGAGATCGGCGGTCCCAGCGTTTACTCGCCCGCACCCAAGTTTCTCTTCGTTCGGCCTGCCAGCTTCAGCGCCAAGGTTTGGGACGAGGCCCAGGGATGGAACCGCTACCGGCGGGGTGTCTATACTTTCCGCTACCGCTCCGTTCCCTACCCCATGCTCCAGACCTTCGACGCTCCCAGCGGAGAATCGTCCTGCGTGCGCCGGCCTCTCTCCAACACTCCCCTGCAGGCGCTGACGACTCTCAACGAACCGGTCTTCCTGGAAGCGGCTCGAGCCCTGGCCTTGCGCACGCTGCGCGACGGAGGAGACAGCCGGGAGCAACGGCTCACCTACGCCTTTCGCCGTTGCCTCGCACGGCAGCCCACCCGGGCCGAGATCAGCCGGCTGCTGGCTTTCCTGAGTGAACAGAAGCATCGGCTGGCCGACGGATGGGTCAGCCCCTGGGACCTGGCCGGATACGATCTTACCGAACGCCCGCGGCTGCCGGACGGGGCCACCCCGGTCCAGTTGGCCGCCTGGACGGCCGTGTCCCGCGTGCTGCTGAACCTGGATGAGACCATCAGCAAGGAATAAGGAAGAAGCCATGAGCAATCAGGATCAAACCGGAATTACGGATTCCCATGAGATCTCCCGCCGCTGGTTTCTGGCCCAGTGCGGCGTCGGCCTGGGATCGGTGGCGCTGGGCCACCTGCTGGGAGAAACCGGTCTGGCCGCCGTCACGCAGGACCGCCGCGATCCCATGGCTCCCAAGGCGCCCCACTACGCGCCCAAGGCCAAGAACGTCATCTTTCTCTTCATGGCGGGGGCGCCCAGCCACCTGGAACTGCTGGACCACAAGCCCCAACTGACCCGGTTCGACGGGACCCTGCCGCCGGCCGAGCTGCTCAAGGGCTACCGGGCGGCCTTCATCGACCCCCATTCCAAGCTGCTGGGTCCCAAGTTCAAGTACAGCCGCCAGGGCCAATGCAATGCCGAAATATCCGAGGTGCTGCCCCACCTTGGCAGTGTCGCCGATGACATTGCCATTGTGAAATCCATGACCACCGACGCCTTCAACCACGCCCCCGGCCAGATCCTGATGAACACCGGATCCCAGCAGTTTGGCCGGCCCAGCCTGGGAGCCTGGACTACTTACGGTTTGGGCAGCGAGGCCCGGGACCTGCCTTCCTTCGTGGTCTTCAGCTCGGGTTCCAAGGGACCCAGCGGCGGCAATGCCTGCTGGGGGAGCGGCTTTTTGCCCACCATGCACCAGGGCGTGACCTTCCGCAGCGCCGGCGAGCCCGTGCTCTATCTTTCCAACCCCAAAGGCGTCGATTCCGGCCTGCAGAAGGCATCTCTCGACACGGTTCGGGACCTGAACCGGATGCGGCTGAAAGCGATCGGCGATCCCGAAATCGCCACTCGGATCAGCTCGTTCGAGATGGCCTTTCGCATGCAGTCCAGCGTGCCCGAGCTCATGGATATTTCCAAGGAGCCCCAATCCATCCTGGACCTCTACGGGGCGGAGCCGGGGAAGTCCTCCTTCGCCAACAACTGCCTGTTGGCCAGGCGCCTGGTGGAGAGAGGGGTCCGCTTCGTGCAGCTCTTCCATGAATCCTGGGACCAGCACGCCAACCTCTCCAAGAGCATTCAGAAGAACTGCCGGGATACCGATCGATCCTCGGCGGCTCTGATAAAGGATCTCAAGCAACGAGGGTTGCTGGACGAGACCCTGGTGCTCTGGGGTGGCGAATTCGGTCGCACGCCCATGGTCCAGGGGACCGAAACCGACGGCCGCGACCACCATCCCAACGCCTTCGCCATGTGGCTGGCCGGCGGCGGCATCCGCCCCGGCACTACCCTGGGAGAGACGGACGACCTGGGCTTCAACGTGGTGAAAGACAAGGTCCACGTGCACGACCTGCACGCCACCATGCTCCATCTGCTCGGGTTTGACCACACCCGGCTGACCCATCGTTTCCAGGGACGAGACTTCCGCCTGACGGACGTGCACGGAACTGTGGTGAAGCAGCTCCTGGCCTAGACGTCAGAGGCCCCGGGACCCGGCTACTAATCCGCCGCGCACGCGGCTGCGGGGGTGGGAATTCACACGACCCCGGGCTCACGACCGGGGCTAAA